TCTTCCACCTCGTTTGCTCCTGTAGAGTAACATACAGGTTGTGTAAGGGCGATCCACGGGGTTGTAAGTGTTTGGACTGCAGCACTCTCGATGCGAGTTGTGTAAACTGTTTCCTTATTTTGCTTTTACTCGAATAGCATCCTGTGATAAATTATTCATTTTCCTGTCAAAGGGAGGCAGCTACTTGAGCATCAGAAGTGAAACGCAGAAGAAGGCAGCAACATCACAAATAAACTTCACTCTCTAACCAGCCGCGCACGGCTGTAGAGAATTTTGACAAACTTACAGCTTAAAATTATTTTGCAGGATTTAGGCACGTTGTGTGCAAATGGGTTGTAGCCCAATACATGTGCGCTCCGCCGTTCCATGGTGGGGCCTTTTTGCTTGAGGAGAAAGATAACGTGTGTTACCTGATCAGCCAGATACAACTTTAATTAACTATGTCGTAACGGGGACTTGAAACCCGTATCGATGTGCACGGATTAATCACCATTAACCTGGGAAAACGCGCCGCTGACTCTCAACCCACGCTTTTCCTGATCCGAAAAATTATTATTTCACAGAAACACGGAAACATCCCCGACTTTCTGAGTCTCTTCGCTTCTGACATCTTCTGATAGTCTCACCTTTAGCATTTAGGATTCTCACCTACGGAGAGTTTATTTTTTTGTCATATTTTCCACTTCTCTCCTGGTGAAAGGGAGTGGGTTCCTGATGAAAGGAAAGGAACGGCTGTTTGCTGGTTCCCAGCGAAACCAGAGGAGCGTGAGGTGTGTTGTGCAGCCCGCACAGACAGCAGTGACGCGGTGACGGGTGTCTCTGACACAATCAGCTCCAACACGAAGTTCTTCCTGATGCCAAACCACCTTAAACCTGCCCCAGGCGAGTGGTGCGTGGGAGTGAAAAGATAATGCTGTGACTGAGCCGTTCGGAGTTCCGGAGTCAGCAAAGACCTCTACCCCTGGAAATTGCATTAGCAAACTCATTTCTTCTCCTGCCGAACAGCCACCCTTGATTAAAATCAAACCAGGCTGATTTTGAGTTGATAACTTTTAGGTAAAATCTTCGCCAGCCCTTTCTGATTTCCTGAGTCATCCAGCACCTCCACAACTACGTTTTTATTACGATCATTGCTTGAAAAGGAGCTGTGGTTAGTTTTTAAGTTATGAATGTTACAACATTTTAGAAATATTTTTGCTACTAGAACAACAGTGAAAACCAGATCAAATTTTGCTACTTGTGTGTTAGTCGCTCTGAGCAGGACTGGATGATCCCGAAGGCCATTTTCCCCTCAGTAACCCAAAACCAACCTTCTCGGTGATTACAGTTTTCCGTTTGTCAAGTTACGAGAAGCAAGTTATTTTTAGTGGAGATCCTTGAACTCTAGAAACCTGTTTCAGGAGAGATCAGCCTGAACCCACCACTTAATCCACATATGACACAGGGCTGCAGCAACTCTTCAGCAGTAGGAAAAAGCCATGCTAGAAGTAGTAGTACTCCAGAATTTAAAATATTCACCATCTGTAGTTTTGACTTAGCTCAGCGCTGCCTAATTCATTTTTTCCTGACTGTTCCCTCCCCTCCTTGTCTCCTTTTACTAAGACCTAGGAAAAAAGAGGAGCAGTGGCTGGGCTGGATTATGTGACACTGGGGAGCAAGACTTAGACTCTGAGTCACTCTGGAATTGCCACTCAGGGGTGAGACGTGACACGATCCATCTCCTCTTTCTGGGAGGAAGCAGGAGCTGAAGCTCAGCCCGGAGAGGGGAGGAGGAGGGAGCTCAGTGCTCACACCAGCGCTGAGCTGTGCTTCGCTTCCAGCCGGGCTCCCCCCCACCGGGGTGTGCGCCTCGTGAGCTGGAAATGGTTATTCCACGATTTAAACCCAGGTGAAGTGAAAATCACTCCTTGGCTGTCGTTTTGCTTCTTCAGAAGGAATACGGACTGGGGCTGCGTGGTTGCAGGGACAGTAACAATACGAGGAGCCTTTTGGCCCTTGGGCATCCTTTTTGGAAGTGCTGCTTTGACAAGGCTGTAGTTAATAGTATCATAGAATCATGGAATGGTTTGGGTTGGAAGGGACCTCAAAGATATCTAGTTTCAACCCCCCACCACGGGCAGGGACACCTTCCACTACACCAGGTTGCCCAAAGCCTCATCCAACCTGGCCTTGACACTTCCAGGGATGGGGCAGCAACAACTTCTCTGGGCAACCTGTTCCAGTGCCTCACCACCCTCTGAGTGAAAAATTTCTTCCTTAGATCCAATCTAAATCTGCCCTTTTTCAGTTTAAATCCATT